GGACCGGATTTAGGGGTGACGCCGCATAACTGCGAGATGACAGTAGAGACGTCCTTTGCGTCCTTGATCAACGACTGCTTGACAAGTTTGCGAGCAGATGTCCGCGCCTCCGTCCACTTCTCATCAGCATATTGCTGGGTGAAGGCCACGGATACGAAGACGCTCGCATGAACGTCTATGATCTCCCACGCGACTGCTGGCTGGGAAGATGATGAGTCCTTCGCAGCCTGAATAACTGCAAGAACAAGCTAATGATTATTGAGCATAAGCGAGGACGAGATGTTTCTCAACACACACCCTGGAGGCTATAGTCATAGCCGCAGGTCGAACCACTTGGAATCGCTCGTGTTGCAATTCTTCACAAAGGAAATGGACGACCGTCGGGAAGATATCCTTGAACGCCGGCGAAGTAGCAACGGTCTTGATGTATGTCTCAACCCAGTTGAGAAGCCAGTTATCCTTCCGAGACGCTTGAAGAGCGTTTAATTCCACGAGATAGCGGGTGTTGTCCTTGATGGACATGAAAATGACTTGAGGGAACTCAAGTCCTTCTCCTTCCCATATGGCGGAACCAATCCTGCTCATGATCAAGACAAAACCTTTCAGAACGTCGATGAAATCTGCATCAGTATCATTTTGTGTGATGCAAAATAATAGACGCATAAAGTCAATTGTCAGTTTCAGAATTGCTCGCAAAAAGATTAACACTGACGAGTTCCAGTGTCATGGAGGTGACCAATAACTACATGGCGAAGATCGATCCCGATAGACTTTCCAGTACGGAGAAACTCGACAGGAACAAAACGGAGCATTGCGCAATATCCAGACCAGAGAGTGGCAACGTCTTGCACGAATGTGAATCGAGCGAGAATGTCTACCACGCCTGGGTTCACAGAACTCTCCGGCATTACGAGCTTCGTAACCGTTTGGAGAACCGTGATGTATGTCGAAAGAAAGTGGTCCTTTGACAAGGGCGTGGACTTATATGACGCAAGTTGCTGCCGTGCCCAATTTCGACTTTCGAGCCTCGCGTCGAGGAGTAGGAAGAACAGTCCCGCAGGAGGGATATCAGTTGGCCAACGAGAGATAAGAGCGCCCGGTGGGCTGGAATGAATAATCTTCAATATTCGGGGATCTTGTAAGATATGCAAGTTGGATAGAATGTGGTATACGACCGCAGGAGGGGCGTCAGAGAGCGTTCGTTCGTCGGTAGGAGCTGAGTCAGGCAGTATCTTGACATTGGACAAAGCAAGTAAGACACTTTGAAGTTCCCACTCGTTAAAGTTGTCGTAGAATGATTTCAAGGTTTCGTCGCTGAAGGCACCGAAATACCTGCAAACGGTATAACATCAATATCAACATGACACACATCTTATGGAGTAGCTCACGTATGTCGTGATGTCACTTTCACCTCCTGCAAACTTCGAATGCAATCACAACAACTCGCAAGACACTCTCGAAATTGTTGCCTCCATTTATCTACCCGTGCTGAGTTATACGCGTGCAGTCGGATGAGAAAAGTCGCCACTCCAACTGTAGTTTTGTCGGCACGGGAGCAGAACCAATGTTCCCGATGTCGTGAAGGCCGTCCTGCATTATTTGTGTTGTCGGATGAAGGACCAACGAGGTATCTGGTGAGGAGTAGCAGGACCTCCTCAGACGGAGTCGCTTCTGGTTCGTCGCGCAACTTCGCAAGTCTGGCGTTGACTTCGTCATTGTTAACAGGTTGCAACGGAGCCATTTAAACTGCCTTTTGAAAGAGCATGCATGCCAGATTGGAAAATGGAAGCGCAAAAGCAGTGAAACAACACACGCACAAAGATGTCTGCGGTCTCGGTATCCCACAACGCCTCCTAACCTCCCAACAAGCGATGGTCTCCAATCAACAAGTCGGTATGCGCGATGGATATTACGCCCTCAGCCTGCGCGTATTCCGGCGGTGAGAGGACGAGATGAGTGCGTTGACTCGGACCCAAACGCGCTCAGACTTGCAAAGTCGCGCTTAGTCACAGTGACAGTCACTGACCACGGGTTTCCGCCACACCACCATCTACATGGACCCAGAGAATCTGGAATTCATCAATCAGCTGCTGGACAAGGATGTCGAACTCAGAGAGGTACCTCCGCATCATCCACATGTCGACTGGATCGAGATAGAACGGGTGTCCGACGTTTTATCCTTAGAAAATCAAGGAGCAAGTCGTAGAATTCGACAAGAAAACGCGGACGCTGTCCGGAATGTTGAACAAGATACACTCGACTCCCTCAGAGCAGAGTAGGTACATTCTTAACATTCATAGATGGTGTTGACCGTGTCTCCAACGACAGTGGCAGTCCTATTGGATTCTGTCCGCCCGACTCTTGAGGGCTGTCGCGAAACGACTGCTGCCCTCGCTGTTCTGATACCTGCTAATCAATTTTGGCGATGGAAGGATATGTGGTGCAACTCCTTGAGAAGTGCAGTGTACGCTGCAACACTCATGGAATATCTCAAGAGCGGAACCCTCCTTACTTTACCGACAGTGAATGAAGTCCTTGGCAGTGAGTTTCCCATAGTCGACTTTACATCTCTTTATTCTAATCTTCGGGCCATTAGTCAAGGACGAATGGAAAGATAGATTCACTTTGACGGCTGAGGACTATCTCCATGGACTGATCACCTTGGTCAACGAATTGGTACGGGGCATACTCTACTATGTTTATCTCACTATATACATTTACCGTGATATGCGCAGTCTCGGCTTGCGGTGAACGCTGTCACTCTTGGTGATTTTGAGGCGCCCATCAAGATCTCAGTATTTGTGAAGGACCTGTTTGCAGGGTTCGCAATGGTATTCGCGCTCTCGAGCTCTCCCACGTTGCGACTGACTCTATCCACTCCAGCTCAATTTGAAGAATGATCTTCTTCGTCGCAGGTACGACAGTTTGAAATACGACATAAAGAAGATAGAGGAAGGTAACTGACCTCCTATTCGCATGATGCACGCATCGCACTGACACCTGTTTTAAGTGGTATATGATGTATCTCTGAGAAAGCTTGTGCCGTCGATTTCGTCCGATAAACTACAGGATAATCCAATTTAGCCTACACTCATCCGATGCGACTCATCTTGTTTTCAATACGATAGCAGCTGTCTGGCGCATTCCCCGATTCACAAAGTGTATGTTTAGTGTAAACTGTTGTACTTGTTGCTTTCTGTTGATTGACGAATGCTAAAGAAGGCTAAAATATATATATGGTGTGTTGCATTCGATGACACTGTTATGTGCGCAGAATCGAACCAACTAAAGTAGCGCTCCGATACAGTAGACGAATTACTGGCAGCAAAAGGAGTAGGATCACGTGCGACATCCAATCTAGATTGCCGCCGGTTTCTACATTCGCGGAGTTTACCATGCCTAGATCCACTGTCGCGCCTCCCGGTGCATCTTGTTCTCGGACATCCACCTCGCACGCATTCGAGTTTTCTCGAACCGTGGCACAGCACAAATTTTATTGCTATGACAGGTAGACGTGCAGTATCAAAACGGCCGGCGTCATCCGAGGGTCCGTACATACAATGACTATGTTTGCGTTCATTCTATTCATTGTACCATCCACAGAAGTCGAATGTTGGTCAAACGCGGCATCATCGCTTTCAAAATTCTCTACGACATATTCCAGTCCTTCTACAGCCGAAACCATCGGTCGCGTGAACAGGTTGTTATTGGCATGGCCCATGGACGATACAATGCCGGCGGAAGGATACGACAGCGTCAGAAGCGTGTACAAGAAACTGATATCTGGACTTACGGAAATCAAGTCAACCGCGGAACGGGACGTAGAGTAAATGATTTGTGCCATCTCGTCGCCTCATAATTCTAACATGATCTTGATTCCAGGGAAATTGACAATGTACTTGAGCAACTTGGCATCCTCGTAGCCTTGAGAAATGCGCCCGAGATAAACGCTCCAGGTAATTGCTCTGTAGACATATGCTACCTGATACTCATATCTACCCTCGCAGAGAAGCGCATTAAGCGCCCGCGTGCACACTCACCAACCGCTGCACCAACCATTGCTGCACCCCCTGTTGCTAATCCGACGACTCGAGCTGGGTCTATCACAGTGCCTCCTCGAAATTCTGTCGGCCCACAACCTTCTCTTCCATTTCCTCGAGAGTCAAAGGCACGCCGGCTGGCATTTGGACCGCAATTGCCATTGCAGCCGGGCAGGAAGGTGGCCTTCCACCCGCCACAGAATACGACTAAAGCTGCAGATGCTGCCGCTGCAGGAAAAGAAGAAGACTGGATATTGGCCGTGGTCACCAAATGCATCAATCAAGATAAGAACCGGTGAACAACATCCGCAATAATCCCACATGACACGGCTGATCGATCCATGATGTAGGTATGAAGTGCAAGATCCAGAGCCACAAGATGATGGCCAGCCGGGGAAGTATGTCAATGACGATACCGATTCATTGGAAGGTACTTACGCTTACTTTTTGTAGGCAGTACAATACGACAATACGCTCTCTCATACCGATTCCGGATCCGAGCGCACCTCCAGATAGTCCCGCGCATCCGAGCGCGTATCCTGAATTCTCCAAAGGCGCAATAGTGCTGGCTCTTTACCCCGACACGAGCTGTTTCTATCGTGCAGAAGTGCTTGCTAGTCCCAAGGATATGAAAGATATGCAGCTTGCCGATGAGGTAAGCATGTTGTTGGTTGCTCTCGTTCTCTCTCTGATGCCGTTGTGTCAGACCGAATCATCGTCCAAGCAAACTTCCATGTCGGTGTACAAGCTGAAGTTCGAGGACGATGACGATCTGGAGCACATTGTCGCCTCGCATGTGGTAGTGGCGTGGCCCAACACATGAGCGTGTTCCTTGCCTATTTCATGTAGGATTAGTCCCAGATTGTACATCAATCAGCTATATAATGGTGGTATTTCTAAAAATTCAAGGCAACGACTCGCTGAGCATTTCAGCCAACGAAACTAAACCAAGACCAAAAATTCGGGTACGGGGAATCGAACCCCGAGCTACCGCGGGCTGCTCTTATGAGAGGCGGTAATGTTAGCCGTTACACCATACCCGATGAATCTTAATTTTCAAAGACAACTTAAACTTGGAGAGCATGCTGACATAACATAGGCACGTGGCTATGTTCTAGCATCCTCCGAGCGCTAACGAGCGAATTCCAGTTCATTCCTCCAGCCGTCATTCTGCGCCTTGTGGCACATTTCTACGCCGAGCTGGTTCTAGAGTATTCTTGCTGCTTCTCGCGATAGCCTAGCTCACCATATATAAGGACCATGAGTTCCTCGAAGATGTACCAGTTCCAGTTTCTTGAATTACGCCGAACACACCAATCACTCTCGTCGACGACATGTCTCTCGCACGTCAATTCTTTCGCGAGATGCGCCCCCTCTTCCGCATACTAGAGGAGCCGCTCGGTCGCTCACCCGCATACAGGGGCTTTCCGCGCTCGCTGCTCGACGAACCTTTCCCCTCTTTCCCTACGATGCCCAACGTCGATGTGACGGAGGAAGGGAACCAGTACATCATCGAGGCGGAGGTGCCTGGAATCAAGAAGGAGAGCCTCGGAGTTCGCATTGGAGAGGGGGGCAGGTCGCTCACCATCGAAGGCAGGGCTACCCGACGGGGCGAGCAGGCTCCGAGCACTTTCACCGCTCCGGCACAGCCGTCTGGAGGCTCGGGAGAAGCGGACGCAGGTAGCCAGGGTATGTTTGTGTGCTTCTCCTATTTCCCTACTTTCCGCGGTGCTCACATGCCACGTCCTCCCGTAGGGTCGCAGACTGTAGCCGCAAAGCCGGAGCCTACTCAGCTGTCCGCGGAGCGTTCGTTCACAAGTGGCAGCCAATTCGCTCGCACCATCTACTTGTCGCAGCCCATCGATAGCGGCAATGTCACGGCGACATTGAACGACGGTATCCTCACCATCACTGCGAAGAAGGCGGAGGATCTGGGCAGCGTCCAGGTTCCAATCCAGTAAACTCGGGTGACTCCATCGTTCGGGGGGTACGACGGGTAGTACACCACCCTAGCAATTTAATCTTGTATCATACTACTGTATCAATGAACTCCACGCTATGAATGAGCTGCATGTTGTGTGACTTGCACTTGCACAGGCGGAAGTTTGAGACGTGACATCCATCTCATGGTAGGTTGAGCGCCAGTTGTGTCTTTGCTGTCTTTGTCCACCTTGCTGTACGCGCTGCACAGCACTGTGCACAACAACTCAGTCTGCCACCACCCCTACTGCATTTTTGTGCTTGTGAAAATAGGCCGCGACTTGTACGCGTTCCCCCGCATCAACGCTAGGGTTCTATCCGTCTGTACCGCTGTCTGGCCACACACTTGTCCCACGCATTCCGTCAACACACATTCTCGTGAGCTGCAAGCTTCCAAGCGTCACTGGACAATATGTCGCTCTCCGCATCCTCCCTACATGCGACTTTCAATACGGATCTCGGCGGATACACGGACGGCGACGAGGAGGAGGTGGACCAGCTAGACTCCGATCTCGACGGAGAGGACGACATGCACGCAGAGGACGGGTCTAGCGCGTCTACGAGCGAGACTCGCCAAAAGGGCGACGGGGAGCGTGTCCCCGGGCACACACTTATACCTGCAACACGCATTGAAAGCATCATGCACGCGGACGGTACGTCGTGGTTGCTAGCCCTGGTGTGTCTCTGAACATCTTGTCGTTGTAGGAAGCGGCGGACATATGTCAAAGGAGGCTCTGTACATGCTATCTATTGCTACAGTAAGTCCGCTTTCGTGCAATTCTTGGTGGTCCGCTCTGCAGCTATGTCAGGAGGAATTCATAAAGCGACTCGCAGAAGCTGGCCATGAGGAGGCCAGTGTAGAGAACCGTTCCACCGTAGATTACCGTGACATTGGTACGTCTCACCCTTCGCGACCTTTCGGTCTTGCTGACGGGCGACACAAAAGCTGCCGTCAACCAGCAATTCCCGGAATTCTCGTTTCTCCGAGGTACACTGTTCGTTTGTCGCTGGAAGCGTGCAGTCACTCATGTCCTCTCAGACACGATACCCACACCTCTTTCACTCTCACAAGCACTGGAACTGAGAGCGGCGAAGGAGAAAGAGCTTCTCGAGGACGATCCTGCAATCTCGGCATCACTAGTCCCGTCAATGACGTTCATTCCATCCGGTCCAAATTCCTCGTTAAGCTCGCGAAGCAGGACTAGGAGCCGACAGTCGAACGGCAAGGAGAAAGCGAACGGAAGCGCAAGCGCGGGAGGGGGCAGACGGCAGCGGGACACGAAGGGACGCTGGAGCATTAGCGGCCGGAGTAGCGAGCACGAGGGAGAAGACGGTGGGAGCATTAGCATGAACGGGACGCGGACGAGTGGCAGGACCAGCCGGCCGTCGCGGACGTCCCGCAATGCCTCTGCGGCCCAGGGCCACTCCGCCTCTGTGAACGGTGCATTGCCTTTCCAGAACGGGATGCATTCGCCACGCATGTTCTCGGCAGAACACGCAGCGTGGGCGATGCCGCCGCCCGCCGCGCCCTTGTCTCACCACGCCGCGGACCCTCTGGGCCACCACCTGGACCCGTTGCGTGCGGATGAAAGGTGGTCGCCCGCGCGCTACACGGGCCCTGCGAGTGGGTATCTGGAGGACCACCGGATGATATTCAGTGGACGGAATGGGATGACAGACAATCCTGGACGGACGATCTACTCGCAGCAGCGTCCTCCGAACCGATGAGGATTAGACTGTGCGTATGCGGATATGATATAGTGTATGGCTCCGTCTATAGGCATAGGGCTGCTGTAGCCTTCCAGGACACTAATTGTAGCGGCTCCATGTTATTCGATGACGGTGAGAAGCAGTCAATGGCCTGGTGCATCCTGCGCTTTCGACACGAGTGAAACTAGAGCTGGACTGCCAGTGCATGTACATGGACTGTCCCAGACGGCGGAGTACCGGTCGGGACAGTACTTGCTTTCATTTCATTTATAAATGATCATAACACATGTACACGAGGCGGAAAGTCAGTTTGAACCGATCATTAATCCGCCTCCGAGCTCGTCGATCGAGAAAGAGTCTAGCCACATGTGATAGCGCAGCCTCCAGCGTCAGGCACAGCGGTCATGACTCCATATATACGGTTCCTTATATCGCTTTACCTCCATCACTGACAACTTAGAACCATGGCGGACCCCGCCCTCAGTAGCGCCCTCGCCGCAAAGCTCAGCACTCTCCCCATAATCAGCATCGAGCCATATCTCCACCCGCACGACGGCAAGGGGCGCATCTCGGCCGCTGCAGCCCTCCACGCCGCCTGTTTGCAGTACGGCTTTTTCTACCTCGACATCTCAACCTACATCGACCCAGACGAGCCCGAGGAGCTTGCGCGTCTTGCCCGCGAGTTCTTTGCGCTGCCGCAGGAGGAGAAGGACAAGATCGCTCTGAACAACGAGGACGGTGCTAGAGGTACTTTGTTTCTCCGCATGACTGTGTCGGGCATTGCTCACGTCTTGCTATGAAACTAGGATACGCGCGGCTGACGGAGAACGTCACGAACGGAAAGCCAGATAACCATGAAGGGATTGATTTCTATCGCCCCGTCGAGGACCCGGACAAGACAAAACCTGTGTGGGGGGAGAATCAGTGGCCCTCTATACCCGGGTTCAGAGAAAAGTACGAGGAGTGGACTGCGAAAATGGAGAAGCTCGGGATCATCGTTATGGAAGCGTACGTCCCATGTCTTTTGCTACTTGCCATGCACCGACTCCACATGGACCGCCAGAATGGCCAACGGTCTCGGAATGTCGTCGGAAGAGTGGGCTGAACTTAAATCACAGGTTGACAAGTCCTTCTGGGTGATGCGCGCCATCGGTTTGTCGCTACCCACAGCATGTCTACACCAGTGTATTGAGCTGCAAGTTGCAGGGTACCCTCCGCTGCCCAATAATTACGACGGATATTCGTGCGGTGCCCACAGGTGAGGGCATTCTCGGATAGACTGCTGCTTCCGCATGCTCAACAATCACTTCGTGATGAACGCAGAGACTACGGATGCTTGACGTGAGCAGGTAACTTCGGCGCTACGACCTATCCCCACTTAAAATTTGATGTAGCTTCCTGTGGGCCGATGCTACCCGTGGAGCGTTGCAGGTGTTTTTGAAGCAGAGAGGGCTGCTCGTCCGAGACACGAACAACCCCTCGGAAGAACATGTCGAAGACGGCGTCTGGATCAACGCTGATCCTCAACCGGGCTGCATTGTCTGTAACATCGGCGAAAGTAGGTGTATCGTGTAGCTCCAAATTGTGTGCACAAAATTGACATACATGATTTACAGTGTGGGAAACGTGGAGCAACGGATTGTACAAAAGCACCTTGCATCGGGTCGTTCACAAAGGGACAAACTATCGGTACGCATCTTGACGCCGTTCTTCGGAGTGATTATTTCATGCTCAATTATTACGACAGAGTATCGTGCGTTAATTGTAGGTCCCATTCTAACAGCATGACCTGATCTAGTCTCTTTAGAATTCCGTTTTTCTTCGAGCCGAACATCGATGCACTCGTCAAGCCGCTTCCCGCAGCTCTGCGCATTACAGCTGACAGCCCGCACAGAAAATCGGAGGGCGTGGTCAACAAGGTCTACGAGCCGGTAATCTACGGGGATTTCTTGCGGAAGAAGGTCGGGTCGAATTTCGCAGCGGAGAAGAGTAAATATGACTCGGACTGAGCTGTCCGCAGCCATATGAAGAGGCTATCGGCTGCTAGAAATAATAGACGCATGTATGAATAGTCCTGTATACGCCTCTTGTCAGTACTTAGAAAGTAGAATTGAAGGATTCGAGTAGTAGATCTCACGAACAAATGCCCGCGCGAGATCGAATCTGTGTTTAATCGTGGTCTGCACGTGAGCACACGCCGGTCGACTTGACTCGGCGTCCTTCACATGTTCTCCAGACTCCATCTGATCCGTCCATCGATATTCTTGTCAAGAGCCATGACCACCGAGGCTGCCATCACCAAGCTGCATACACCCCTGCGGGATCTGGTCACAGGAGCAGTGCAGGATGGGCG